GGGGGGGGCTGCAGTTTACAGAGTACTAGTATACATCTGTCTGTTGGTTGGTCACAGCATTTTGTGCTTTAGGAACTGACTTTTTCCTCGCAATTCATGCAATGGCATTTATGTAAAAATACTATTTTGATTTTGGACTTTTTGTTTTGATCTGGAAACTTTAGACAGCAATTAGATAGCATATTGTTGCCGAATAATTCTAGGCTTGGATTAGTGAACATTCATTTGCCACCTCATTTGATATCTGAAATTTGGTAAAATTTTTGATATTCATGTCATTATTTTCTTTTAATTTGTTAACATAATAATGTGTTAAATAATAGAATTTCAGTAAAAAAACTCTAACAGTTATGATAACAAACTTACAATAGTATTATTAGACCACATCATTACTATATTATTAGATTAGTAAATTAGATTAACTTTTTTACAAAAAAATAGCACTACTCTATTCTTCTCGTCTTATCTCTTTTTTTCTTTTTTTTTTCAATGGTTAGGGGAGTCGGGACGTACTCATAGTTCTCTCTCTATAGCCCCCANGTTATGATAACAAACTTACAATAGTATTATTAGACCACATCATTACTATACTATTAGATTAGTAAATTAGATTAACTTTTTACAAAAAAAATAGCACTACTCTATTCTTCTCGTCTTATCTCTTTTTTACTTTTTTTTTTCAATGGTTAGGGGAGTCGGGACGTACTCATAGTTCTCTCTCTATAGCCCCCAAAATTGTAGAGGAGAGTTAAAAAGATAATGAGTCGTAGGGGAGAGTTAAAAAGATAATGAGTAGTTTACGCATATATCGACTAAATTTTTTTTTGGTCCGATTAAAAATAGAGATTATCCAAGTCAAGATTAGAATATTCGTAAGAGATAAATCTCTCATGACTTGACCTCATGAATTATCAAAATTCGAACTCAAAACGTTTAAGTTTATAATTCATTTTTATTACCACTTGAGCTACCATTGAGATGTTCCCTTTTTTTTAAATTCAAATTCTTCACTATTGCACACCTTGATTTACTTGCCTGAAAAGAAAATNGTATTCATAAGAGATAAAATCTCTCATGACTTGACCTCATGAATTATCAAAATTCGAACTCAAAACGTTTAAGTTTATAATTCATTTTTATTACCACTTGAGCTACCATTGAGATGTTCCCTTTTTTTAAAATTCAAATTCTTCACTATTGCACACCTTGATTTACTTGCCTGAAAAGAAAATGATTTTATTTTAAAAAATACAGTTTTTTTTTGCATCAATTTTACTAACTCAAATAATTTTTTGCCTTCTAAAATAAATATCAAAGTGTATTGAAAATTTCTTCAATTAGCTAGAATATATGATTAACCATTTTCCACTCATCTTAATGTAAGTTTGATTTGGATTAACTGAAGCATAACAAAACTAGCAATAATCCTGTGTTTGATGACACCTTGNTGCATCAATTTTACTAACTCAAATAATTTTTTGCCTTCTAAAATAAATATCAAAGAGTATTGAAAATTTCTTCAATTAGCTAGAATATATGATTAACCATTTTCCACTCATCTTAATGTAAGTTTGAATTGGATTAACTGAAGCATAACAAAACTAGCAATAATCCTGTGTTTGATGACACCTTGCAATATTTAAAATTGAGCATTGATCGTAAAATTTTTTATTTTTTAAATAACAATTTATTTTTTTATTTGATTACATAATTTAAAATTAGAGTAGATATAGAGAAAATAAAAGAGATATGTGTGAATTAATGNTTGATGACACCTTGCAATATTTAAAATTGAGCATTGATCGTAAAATTTTTTATTTTTTAAATAACAATTTATTTTTTTATTTGATTACATAATTTAAAATTAGAGTAGATATAGAGAAAATAAAAGAGATATGTGTAAATTAATTGAGCTGTCTGATATTTGAGAGTATGTTGATTGGTTATTCGTGATCAATTTGATTAGTTCATACAATTTTTCAGTATTATNGAATTAATGGAGCT